AAAAAAAAAAAGGCCAGGCGTGGTGGCAGGTGCCTGTATCCCTGCTAGTCAGGAGGCTGAGGCAGGAGAATCACTTAAACCCAGGAGGCAGAGGCTGCTCTGAGCCACGATCACGCCACTGCACTCCAGCTTGGGTGACAGAGAGAGACTCTGTCTCAAAAGAAATAAATAATTTTAAACATTTTTTAAAGAAAAGTAGGCAGTGAGAATTCAGCCCCAACAATGTGCATCCTCCAGGACTCACTGAAAAGCAATCTGTCTGCAAAATCAGCCCAGGTGAGTCCCAAAGGAAGGAGGTGTCCTGCTAGCTTCCCCGACATCCAGGCTGGGCGCCGGATGGGGACAGGTCAACAGCAACGCACCAGAATGGGATGGCTCCTTAATAAGAGGCCATCAGCCACCTACATGTCCATCTGTGCATGACAGACTGAACATCAACAGGGAAGATAGAAGCCTTGCGGTAGGCGATGGAATTATAACTTTAAAAAATCATTTCTGGCCAGGAGTGGTGGTTCATACCTGTAATTCCAGCACTTTGGGGGGCCAAGGCCAGGAGGATCACCTGAGGTCAGGAGTTCAAGACCAGCCTGGCCAACATGGTAAAACCCCACCTCTACTAAAAATACATAAACTAGCTAGGCATGGTGGCTTGTGCCTGTAATTCCAGCCACTCGGGAGGCTGAGGCAGGAGAACTGCTTCAACCCAGGAGGCAGAGGTTGCAGTGAGCCAAGATTGCACCACTACACTCCAGCCTGGGTGACAGAGTAAGACTCTGTCTTTAAAAAAAAAAAAAAAGAAAAGAAAAAAGAAAAACACAAAAAATTAGCCGGGCTTGGTGGCAGGTGCCTGTAGTCCCACCTACTCGGGAGGCTGAGGCAGGAGAATGGCATGAACCCGGGAGGTGGAGATTGCAGTGAGCCGAGATCGTACCACTGCACTCCAGCCTGGGGGACAGAGTGAGACTCCGTCTCAAAAAAAAAAGAACTCAGTGTGGTCCTGGCACACACCAAGTTCAAATCAGCACCAGCCCCTCCTTTCTATTACACCGGCAGCTCGTCGTGAAAGCCCTGGGCTCAGGCCAAACACGCAATAGACCCCGGGGTCGAACAGGTCAAGGTGGGGGGTTTGAGAATTAATTCTCAAAGGTGGGGTTACAGATGCCTGCCACCATGTCCAACTAATTTTTGCATTTTTAGTAGAGATGCGGTTTTACCATGTTGGCCATGCTGGTCTCAAACTCCTGACCTCAGGTGATCTGCCCGCCTCAGGCTTCCAAAGTACTGGGATTACAGGCGTGAGCCACCATGCCCGGCCCCATCAGAGGTTCTTAGAGCAAGACAGAGGCACGCCCAGCACTGCAGCCCAATTTACCCCACTGGCCTTCCCTCGAGACGCACTCACTCTTCTGAGGGCCTGAGGGCCACAGAAGACGCGAGGAATGGGCCACTTGGGACATACGTGAAGGAGTTGCCTTCCCCCACCCCCCTCCCTGGAAGTGTCCCCATCTCAGCCCTGAACCCCCCAAAAGCCAACTCACAGCATGGGTGGCACAGTTGGCCGCATGTTCATACTCTGTGGGCTGGTACCTCTTGTGGGCAGGGACTCGGTGGTTCATGAACCTGGAAGGAGAGGGAGAGTTCCAGAGGGAGAATTCCAGGAAGCTCTGCTGGGGAAGAGGTGCCATCCGAATTCCCAGGAAGCCTGAAGACCTCACTTCCTACCGGTAGGAAAAGAAGAGCGCTCCTCCATTTTCCTATCCCCCCTCCTCTTCCCTTCCCTCCCTCACTCTTTCTGATCATTAAATGGTTTTGGGTTACCCAATATTTTGTGCCTAATCCCCAGTGTGGTGTTTGTTACAAAATTTTGCTAAATGCTAAATGTGGCATTCTCTTCGTTTACTTTTTTTTGAGACAGAGTCTCACTTTGTCAAAAGACTGGAGTGTAGTAGCGTGATCTCGGCTCACTGCAACCTCTGCCTCCCGAGATCAAGCAATTCTCTTGCCTCAGCTTCCTGAGTAGCTGGGTGTGTGCACCAAGCCTGGATAATTCTTGTATTTTTAGTAGAGATGGGGTTTCACCATGTTGGCTGGTCTCGAACTCCTGACCTCAGGTGATTCGCCCACCTCAGCTTCCCAACGTGCTGGGATTACAGGTGTGAGCCATCATGTTTTTTTTTTTTTTTTTTTTTTTTTTTTTTTTTTACAAAGGGTCTCACTCTGTCACTCAGGCTGGAGTGCAGTGGTGCAATCATGGCTCACTGCTGCCTCCACCTACTGGGCTCAAGCGATCCTCCCGTCTCAGCCTCCTGAGATGCTGGGACTACAGGCACAATCTACCATGCCTGGCTACATTTTTTTGTATTTTTTATAGAGACAGGGTTTCATCATGTTGCCCAGGCTGGTCTCGAACTCCTGGGCTCAAGCGATCCTCCCACCTTGGCTTTCCCAAAGTGCTGAGATTATAGCCGTGAGCCACTGCTTCTGGCCTCATTTCCTGTTTTTTATTTTCTCTAAGTACAACTTACGAACAATATAGCTCTGCAAGGGGTCAGCTCGAAGGATTTTTACAGATGCATAGACCCACACAACCACCATCCAGGAAGAGCTACGGCTCACTTCTCACCCCCAAGAAAGTGCCCAGTGCCCCCTCCCATGGGTACATTTTCCCCAGGGAAACCACCCTCTGCCGTTGTCATCTTGGATTTGTTTCCCCTGTTCTTGAACTTGCTCAATGAACTCATACAGAACACGCTGTTTTGTGTCTCGCTTCTTTTGCTTAATGTGATTTTTGTGAGATTCATCCACATTTTGGGGTACAGCAACTGGTAGTTTTCATGGCTGTATCGTATTCCACTGGGTGAACAGACCACAAGTGACTTATCCAGCCCACTGCAGGGGGACACTCCTGTTTGGGGACATTATGGATAACTCGGCCCATGAACATTTTTATGCACATGTTTTGGTGAACACACGCGCTTATTTCTGCTGGGCTCAGGTGAAATTGCTACATGACTTTATCTTAAAAATAAACATTTCTGGCCAGGTATGGTGACTCACGCCTGTAATCCCAGCACTTTAGGAGGCCGAGGTGGGCAAATCACTTTAGGCCAGGAGTTCGAGACCAGCTTCATTAACACGGTGAAACACCGTCTCTACTAAAAATACAAAAATTAGCTGGAAGTGGTGGCATGTGCCTATAATCCCAGATACTTGGGAGGCTGAGGCAGGAGAATCGCTTGAGGGAGGTGAGGGTTGCAGTGAGCCGAGATCATATCATTGCACTCCAACCTGGGCGACAGAGTAAGACTCCATTTCAAAAAAAAATGTTAGCCGGGCGTGGTGCCACAGGCCTGTAATCCCAGCTACTTGGGAGGCTGAGGCAGGAGAATCATTTGAACCTGGGAGACGGAAGTTGCAGAGAGCCGAGATCGTGCCACTGCATTCCAGCCTGGGCGACAGAGACAGAGTCTTTCTCAAAAAACAAAACAAATCAAACAAACAAAACAAAAATTTATATGTTTTGTGTGTCTTTTTAGAATCTTCAGAGCGTTATCACCTCTGTTTAATCCTCACTGGAGCACCATGTGGAGCTATTGGCCATTTTACAGATGGAGAAGCTACAGGGCAGGGAGGTGAGGGAAGGAGATCACAGGACGGGAAGGGGCTCAACCCAGCCCCGGTTGACTCCAACGTCTGGTTATGCCTTGACGCAAGTCTGTGCTGGGGGACTTAGGTCAGGATGGGAAGACAGACGAGGGTTGGCTGGAAAGGAAAGAGGCATCCAAGAACTGGTGGTAAGGTCTGCACACACCTGGCCGTCAGACCAGCAGCCAGGACCACAGCAGCGTGCATGTCTTTGGCCACAGAGGCTCGGAATCAGCTCACCTGAACGTTGCCAAGCAGCAGCCACCCAATGGGTTAAACTCCACTAAACACACCAAAAACCTTCCCCCCATGTCTGATGGTTACTTTGTAGACTGTCCCCCAAACAAATGAGTGTATGGTTCAGAACAAATGACTCCATGCAGTATATATGGGGCACTAAGCATTTATTGGGCACTTTCTGTATGCTGGTGTCACACCAGGAGGTCATGGAGCATTTATTCAGCATCTCCTGTGTGCTGGCTCCATGCTGTAAAGACCCTGGAACATTCGTTGAGCACCTTCTGTGTGCTGGCTCCATGCTAAGTATAGTTCATGGAGCATTTATTAAGCATCTTTTGTGTGCTGGCTCCATGCTAAATACAGCTCATGGAGCATTTGTTAAGCACCTCCTGTGTGCTGGATCCAGGTTAAGTACAGTTATGGAGCATTCATTGAGCACCTTCCGTATGCTGGCCTTATGCTAAGTACAGCTTATGGAGCACTTATTAAGCACCTTGTGTGTTGGCTCCATGCTAACTATAGTTCATGAAGCACTTAATAACCACCTTTGGTGTGCTGGCTCCATGCTAAGTATAGTTCATGAAGCATTTATTAAGTACCTTTTGTGTGCTGGCTCCATGCTAAGTGCAGCTCATGGAGCATTTATGAAGCACCTCCTGTGTGCTGGCTCCAGGCTAGTAAAGACCCTGGAACATTCGTTGAACACCTTCTGTGTGCTGGCTCCGTGTTAAGTACAGTTCATGGAGCATTTATTAAGCATCTTTTGTGTGCTGGCTCCATGCTAAATACAGCTCATGGTGCATTTGTTAAGCACCTTCTGTATGCTGGATCCAGGTTAAGTACAGTTATGGAGCATTCATTGAGCACCTTCTGTACGCTGGCCTCATGCTAAGTACAGCTCATGGAGCATTTATTAGGCATCTTCTGTGTGCTGACTCCATGCTAAGTATAGTTCATGAAGCATTTATTAAGCACCTTCTGTGTGCTGGCTGCATGATAAATGCAGCTCATGGAGCATTTATTAAGCACCTTCTGTGTGCTGGCTCCATGCTAAGTGTAGTTCATGAAGCATTTATTAAGCACCTTCTGTGTACTGGCTCCATGCTAAGTACAGCTCATGGAACATTTATTAAGCACCTTTGATGTGCTGGCTCCATGCTAAGTATAGTTCATGAAGCATTTATTAAGCACCTTCTGTGTGCTGGCTCCATGCTAGTACAGACCCTGGGGCATTGATTGAGCACCTTCTGTGTGCTAGCTCTATGCTAGCATAGTTCAGGGTTCATTTATGAAGCACATTGTGTATGCTGGCTTCATGTATGCTGGTGAGGGCAGGGCAGGAGTGAAAGCTGGGCAGGGAAGTCTGCCAGGCACTGACACTCTGATTTGCCCTGGGACACTTGGTGCCTGGGTGAATCCAAGGGTCCAACGGTCCAGGTGACTGCTGTCTGCCTGCATCCAGCTGGGACTCCATGGTCACGTGATTCCACAGTCAGTCAAGTGACTTCAACACCAGGGTCACACTGAGCCCATTCGACAGTTGAGAAAACTAAGACCCCTGGGGCCAGGCTTCTGCACCAAGCTAAAGAGACACCAACGTCCCATCTCCCATGGCCTCAGCACCCTTGCAGGGGCAGACTGAAAACTGGAATTATAGTCACAGAGAACATGGAGGACCCACCCTGGGGACCCCATTGAAGCCTCCCCAGGAGCCCAGAACATGCCACCCATCCACCCACCTTCCTCAAGGTGGGCCAGGAAGCTGCCTGTGGCCAAGACTGGCTTATGTTTGGTTTTTTCTTTTGTTTTGTTTTCTGTTTTTTTGAGATGGAGTCTCTTTTTCTTGAGATGGAGTCTTGGTCTGTTGCCCAGGTTGGAGTGCAATGGCACTGTCTCAGCTCACTGCAACCTCTGCCTCCCGGGTTCAAGCGATTCTCCTGCCTCAGCCTCCCTAGTAGCTGGAACTACGGGCACATGCCACCACACTCGGCTAATTTTCGTATTTTTAGTAGAGACGGGGTTTCACTATGTTGGCCAGGTTGGTCTCAAACTCCTGACCTCATGATCTGCCTGCCTCAGCCTCCCAAAGTGCTGGGATTACAGGCGTGAACAACCGCACCCCGCCAGGATTGGCTTATTAACTAATAAGTAATAACAACAAAAATAGTGATATGGGTTGAACCGTGTCCTCCCAGCATTCAAGTGTTGAAGCCCTAATTCCCAGTATTGAGAAGGGGACCTCATTTGGGAACAGGATTGGAGCAGATTTCATTAGTTAAGATGAGGCCAGGGTTGGGTGTGGTGGCTCACGCCTGTAATCCCAGCACTTTGGAAGGCCGAGGCAGGCAGATCATGAGGTCAGCAGATCGAGAGCATCCTGGCTAACACGGTGAAACCCCATCTCTATTAAAAATACAAAAACTTAGCCGGGCATGGTGGCGGGTGCCTGTAGTCCCAGCTACTTAGGAGGCTGAGGCAGGAGAATGGCATGAACCCGGGAGGCAGAGGTTGCAGTGAGCCGAGATTGCACCACTGCACTCCAACCTGGGCAACAGAGTGAGACTCAATCTCGGAAAAAAAAAAAAAAAAAATGAGGCCAGACTGCATTAGGGTGGGCCCCCATCCAGTATGAGTAGGGTTCCCTAAGAAGATGAAACAGGCCGGCCATGGTGGCTCACACCTGTAATCCCAGCACTTTGGAAAGCAGAGGCAGGTAGATCACCTGAGGTCAGGAG